ATTTTTTGTTGATGGTTTCTTTTGCTGTGCAGAAGCTTTTTATTTTGATGTAGTCCCATTTGTTTATTTTCTCTTTAGTTTCCATTGCCCTAGGAGCTGGATCTGTAAAGATTAATGCTTCACCATATATCTGAGATTTTGCTGCCTATGGATTTCTCTAGGATTTTTATGGTTTCTCATCTTATGTTTAAGTCCTTTATCCATTTTGAGTTTATTTTTGTGCATGGTGTAGGTTGGTGGTCTATTTAAATTTTTTGCATGTATCTGTCCAATTTTCCCAATACCATTCATTGAAGTGACTATCTTGACTCCATTATTTGTTCTTGCCTCCTTTGTCAAATATTAATTGAGCATATTGGTTTGGGTCGATTTCTGCATTCTCTATTCAATTCCATTGGTCTATATGTCTGTACTTGTGCAAGTACCAGGGCATTTTGAGAACAGTGGCCTTGTAATACAGCTTTTGATATTTGGTATTGAGATCTCTCCTACTTTTTCCTTCTTTCTCAGGATTGCAGCTATTCAGGGCCTTATTTTATTCTACACGCATTTTTTGGATAGTTTGTTCTAGGTCTGTGAAATATGCCATTGTTATTTTAATGGGGAATGCATTGAATCTATAGATTGCTTTGGGTAATATGAATATTTTAATGATGTTGATTCTATCAATGCATCAACATGGTATATTGTTCCATCTATATCTTCCTCTATCTCTTTTTTCAGTGTCCTGTAGTTTTCTGAGTAGAGGTCTTTTACCTGCTTAGTTAAGAAACCTATTCCTAGGTTTTTTAATTTTTTGGTGCAATGGTAAATGGGGTTGTTTTTTTAATCTCTCTTCCTGTAAGTTCACTATTGGTGTAAAGAAATGCCTTAGATTTCTTAGCATTAATTTTGTATCCTGCTACATTGCCGAATTCCTTTATTAAGTCGAATAATTTTTTGATGGAGTCTTTAGGTTTTTCTGTGTACAGTATCATGTCATCTGTGAATAATAACAGTTTTACTTCTTCTTTTCCAATTTTGATGCCTTTTATTTCATCTTCTCTGATCGCTATGGCTAACACATCCAGTACTATGTTGAAGAAGAGTGGTTAATGTGGGTATCTCTGTCTTTTCCTGTTCTTAGGTGAAATGGTTTTAGTTTTTGCCCATTGAGTATGATGTTGGCTGTAGGTTTGTCATATAACACTTTCATTAGGTTGAGGTATGATCCCTCTATTCCCTTTGCTGAGGGTTTTTGTCAAGAAATGGTGTTAGATTTTGTCAAATGCTTTTTCTGCATCAATTGATAGGACTATGTGATTTTTATCTCCTAATTTGTTTATCTGATATATCATTTTTTAAAAATATATTTTGTTGATTTTTTACAGAGAGGAAGGGAGAGAGACAGAGAGTCAGAAACATCGATGAGAGAGAAACACTGATCAGCTAGCTGCCTTCTGCACATCCCCTACTGGGGATGTGCCTGCAACCTAGGTACATGCCCTTGACCGGAATTGAACCTGGGACCTTTCAGTCCGCAGGCCAATGCTCTATCCACTGAGCCAAACCGGTTTTGGCCTGATATATCATTTTTATTGATTTTTAGATATTTTGCCATACTTGCATCCCTGGGACAAAGTCTACTTGGCCATGGTGTATGATATTTCTGATGTACTGCTGGATCTGATTTGCTAGAATTTTGTTGAGGATTTTGGCATCTATGTTCATGAGGGATATTGGCCTGTGATTCTCTTTCATTGTATTGTCTTTATACGGTTTTGGTATTAGGGTAATGTTGGCTTCATAGAATGAGCTTAGAAGTGTTCCTTCCTCTTGAATTGTTTTATTGGATAGGTTTTATTTCTTCTTGGAGTGTTTGGTAAAATGCCCCTTTGAAGCAGTCTGGTCCAGGGCTTTTGTTTGCTGGAAGGTTTTTGATGATTGCTTCAATTTCCTTCATAATTATTGGTCTATTGAGATTTTTAGATTCTTCCTGATTGAGTTTTGGAAGGTTCCATTTTTCTAGGAATATGTCCATTTCCTCTAGGTCATCTAGTTGTTGGACTACAGTTGTTCATAGTATTTTTTTTTACAATCCTTTGTATTTCTGTGGGGTCTGTTGTTATTTTGCCTCTATTCAATTCTGATTTTCTTTATTTGGGTCCTCTCTCTTTGCTTCTTGGTGAGCCTGGCTAGAGGTTCATCAATCTTGTTCATCCTTTCAAAGAACCAGCTCTTGTTTTCATTGATCTTATGTATTGTTTTTTTTTTGTTTGTTTGTTTTGGTCTCTATGTCATTTATTTCTGCTCTGATCTTTACTGGTATTATCTCCTTACTTCTGCTCTCTCTGGGCTTTTCTTGTTACTCACTTTCTAATTCTTTAAGTTCTAGAGTTAGTTAATTTATTACCAGTTTTACTTTTTTTTTTTTTTTTTTGGGGTAGGCCTGTAGAGCTATAACTTTCCCTCTCATGATTGCTTTCACTGTGTCCTTAGATTTTGGGTTGTTGTGTTTTCATTGTCATTTGTTTCTAGGATGTTTTTTATTTCTTCTTTGATCTCTTTGGGTAATCCAATCATTGTTTAATATTATGCTATTCAGCCTTTAAGTGTTTGAGTTTTTTGTTGTTTTTATTGGGGTTTATTTCTATTATTATGCCATTGTGTTCTGAGAAAATGCTTGATATTGTTTCAATCTTCTTGAATTTGGAGAGACTTTGCCTGTGACCCAATATGTGGTCTATCTTTGAAAATGTCCCATGTGTACTTGAGAAGAACGTATCTTTTGTGGCTTTGGAGTGAAATGCTCTGATGATGTCAATTAGTTCCATCTGATCTAGTGAGTCATTTAGGATTGATATTTCTTTGCTGACTTTTTGTCGAGAGGATTTACCCAGTGATGTCAGTGGGGTATTAAAGTCCCTTACTATGATTGTATTGTTGTTGATCTCTCCCTTGATATCTTCCATAAGTTTTTTTATGTGTTTGGGTGTTCCTGCTTTGGGTGCATATATGTTTACCAGGGTTTTATCCTCTTGTTGTATCAATCCCTGTAGTATTTTGAAGTGGCCTTACCTATCTCTTGTGATGGCCTTCACTCTGAGGCCTATTTTGTCAGATATAAGTATTACTACCTCAGCTTTTTTTTATTTCCATTTTGCCTGAAATACATTTTTCCATCCCTTCACTTTCAGTCTGAGTGAGTCCCTTGTTCTGAGGTGGGTATCTTGTAGACAGCATATATGTGGGTCATGTTCTCTTATCCACTCAGCCACTCGATGTCTTTTGATTGAAGCATTTAGTCCATTTACTTTTTTTTTTTTTTTAGAGAAGTGAGATCATCTTTATACAGGCACATCCCCAGAAAATCACCAAGCCCAACAGCAACAAAGGTCAGCTTTTATTGACTGTGTTACAAAAGAGCCAGTTTAGTCAAAAAGACCAAAGCCCATGTCATCGTCAGACCCCTCAGATTCTTCTTTCTTTGCTTCCACTTTCTCCTCCTCAGCTGGGGCCGCAGAGGTGGGAGAGGCAGGACCTCCTGCCGGTGCAGCAATAGCTGCAGGGGCAGGTCCACCAGCCCCTATTTTGCAGATGAGACTTCCAATGTTGACATTGGCCAGAGCCTTTGCAAACAAGCCTGGCCAGAAAGGTTCAACATTTACACCAGCTGCTTTAATGAGGGAATTGATCTTATTCTCCATCACTGTCACTTCATTGTCGTGCAGGATCAGGGCCGAGTAGATGCAGGTGAGCTCTGAGACTGAGGCCATGATGAGGTCCAGTGCTGGGTGAGCACTGCCAGGAGCGGTACTAGTCGCCGGATGAAGTGAGGGTCTCACCCCAACACAGCCTTAGTTTCCTGTGGGAAGAACCAAGCACCTTATTGGCACCTGGGGAAAGGGCAGTCCATTTACTTTTAAAGTTATTATTGATGGGTACTGGTTTGTAGCCATTTTATTGTTGTGCCTGTGTTCCTTCTTCCTTCTTTATTTCTTCTTTTTAAACCAGGCCCTTTAGCATAACTTGCATTGCTGGCTTGGTAGTGATAAACTCCCTTAGCATTTTTTTTTTTCTGTAAAGCTCCCTATTTCCCCTTCAATTTTGAATGATATCCTTGCTGGATAGAGTATTCTTAGATTCAGTCCCATGCTTTGCCTCACTTTGTAAATTTCCTTCCATTCCTTTCTGACCTGATGTGTTTCTGATGAGAAATCATTTGATACTCTAATGGGGTATACCTTATAAGTAACTTTCTGTCTCTCTCTTGCAGCCTTTAAGATTCTCTTGGTCCTGAACATTTGCCGTTGTAATTACGTTGAGTCTTGGTGTGGGTCTTTTCGGGTTCATATTGTTTGGGACTCTCTCTACTTGTGTGACTTTTTTCTTCCCTAAATCAGGGAAGTTTTCTGACATTATTACTTCAAATAGTATTTCTAACCTTTGTTCGTCTTCTTGTCACTCTGGCACCCTTATTATTCCTATGTTGCTTTGTTTCATGTTGTCCCAAAGCTCTCCTAGGCTCCCCTCCTAAACTTTATTTTTTTCTCCAATTGCAGTTCATTTGGGGCTTGTTTTACCGCCCTGTCTTCTAATTTGCTAATTCAGTTCTCTGCTTCTCCTAGTCTACTGTTGAAACTTTCCATAGTGTTTTTTATTGTAGCTATATCACCCTTTATTTCCTCTAGAGTCTTACATAAGTTGTTGATTTTTTAATCACAATGATATTTTTAAGAGGACATCGTGGATACAAAAATAGGAAGACTTCTTGTTATTCTTTATTGACAGTTTTATTAATACATACTTTTTATTGGCTTATAACATCAATCTATTTTTAAATTTTGATGCACACTTCATTTTGAAAAACAAAATAAATATCATATGACTCAGTTTCGCTAAACAAGGAAATGACTGTAAAACTTTATGGCCAAAAGGATTTTGAGAACTTCTAAGAAAAGAGAAAAATCAAAAGCTGTTTCTCTTCTGGAACTGCAAACTCCTTCAGTCCCTTCAGTATCATAATTAGATATTACATTTTATTGGTCTGTCATATGTCAAACCAAATTGTCCAGCTAAATCCTCAGATTGTGATGAATACTAGTCATACTCATCACTAGTTCTATAGCTGTCCTCAGCAACGAGGACCACGGGACAGAGAGATGCATGAAACCTATGGCTTAAAATATCTTGGCTTTGTCCCTAGGTCACTCTTGTCCCAGACAGGTCCTTCCTGAGCATCCACCTCACTATCCTCTTAGCAGCTGGTTAAAACTCAGGGATGGGGACAGGATATTCACATGAGGTGATGGTTTTGCTTCTCAGGGGTGACCCTGGCATAGGGTAGAGCCACTCAACTGCATTACAAGATGTGGCTGCCCAGCACCAGCAATAACATTCAATCTGAGGTCCTCACAGCATTGGGAACACTTTGGCCCTTGCAGAGATACACTGCAAGTATAGAACCAAACAAAGATGAATTTTTTAATGCAGGGTTTGTCCTATGCTTACTGTGCCAGAAATAAAGTAAAACACTCCCATTGTCCTGAGACGATGGGTGCTATGCACAACTCTACTTCAGTGAATAGCATTGTAAGCTTATTTCTACTGGGATGTTCTTTTAGGTTTGCAGGTTGCCATGGCATCTAGACCCAACATGACGGCCCCCATTTGCCTGGTGGAAAATAACAATGAGCACCTGTCAGTGAATCAAAAAGCTCTAGAGATTCTAGGCCAGATTTCTCAGCCAGTGGTGGTCGTGGCCATTGTAGGACTGTATCGTACAGGCAAATCCTACTTGATGAACCGGCTTGCAGGACAGAATCACGGTGAGTGGTATCTCAGGCAGAGGACAATTCTTTGTCTCCAGCTATATCATAGTTTCTTAGTTTTCTTCACTAGTCCCATAAAGAAAGAGCTAAATTCCTTTCAATAAACCAACCTTCTAATTCTAATTCTTACTAATAAATTATGACCTTAATTAGTGTTATCTCAGGCCAGGGCCAATTATTTTACTCTAACTATATCACAGCTGATTAGTTTTCTTCCCTGGTGGCATGAGGAGAGAACTAAACTCCTCTCAATAAACCAATTTTCTAAGTCTAATTCTCATCACTAAACTATTAGCTTAATCTATTCTATTGCTATATTTATAGTTTTACTTCTGTTAAAGAAAATCCCTCTTAGTAATGCATAGACTCCTTCTTTTACTTGTGCCAACACGGGTCTTGAAATCGTGCCTCCTCTCTTGGTCGTAACATGTTTTGCTCTCTCTATAGAATTTTGCTTTTCCCATGAATATATAAAGATAATTGCATATCTACACCATGTTTAAAGATTTTTTTGAGTTCACATCCCATTGTTGTTAACAACCTCTCCCACACCATTTGCCATTTTTATTTTTATTACTTTGATTGGAAAAATATTATCTGAATTTCTTTTTCTTAGATGTCTCTCTTCTATCCACTTTTATTTGGCCTTTACTGGACCATTCTTTAATATGCTCTTATTATGGCATTCAGTGACCTTTATTATATCTGATTCATGGATGTACTTCACCTTGATTTTGAGCTCTTGCTGGATATCATTTTCACTGTTAACATTCATCTCCTCC